GGGGGCGGCAGGCGGGGGGGGCTCAGAGGAAATAGGGGGTGGTTGTTCTGGGAGGAATCACACGTTCTGAGTCGGGAACTGCGCGGAAGAGCTTTGGTTCTCTCGTATTTACATCTTTAAAGACCATGATTGATGCGATATTTCCACAGCGGTAGCAGTAATTGGGAGCCGACCATACCGTCACCAGCTTCTCATCGAACATGAACTTATAGCCCTCGTGGACCAGCTGGTGCGCTCTGCAGATCAGCTTTAAGTTGTTGATGTGAACAAACTGTGAAGGAAAGAAGGACAGTCAGGTTCCTCCCAGCAGCTCTGCCCGCCCCAGAGCCCGGCTCTGGCAGAAACGGGCCATCAGGGGACACAGGGGAACTTTTTCACCCAGGGCACTGAAAAACTTCCACTTGTTTTTTGAGACCCGAGCAGTGGGAGACACCTGTGAGACAGAGGTGAGGCCTCTGCGCCGCCCGCCTGACGCGCTGCAGAAAGGCCAGACACACAGGAGATCCCAACCCAGCTCCTCCAGGAGCCTGGGAAGGTCAGTGACCATTAGCTCTGAGAAATCTGCTCACTCTTTTCCAAAGTCAAAAAAATTAAGTCAAGAATTGTTAAGAAAAAATGGTGCAGTATTTTTCCTTTCTACTTTTCTAAGGATTTAGGATTCTCAGACCCCACTGACACTAGTTCCTCTCACTGCATTATACTTTTTAAAAGCAAGATCAGTGTTAATTGCATCTGGCCACTATATTTATGCCCTTAAGCATAATTTATGGCTCATTTTTTCAAGTTGGCTTGAGCGAACCTTCTCATCACCACGAGTGACTCGCAGCAGCCCCACAAGGGAAGTTCCTCATCTGGCAGCACCCTCCACCCGCTCGTCACTGGGGTGAACTCCACACTGAGCTGAACACTTTGGTTTCTCTGGTACCTGCCCGTTTGCCCTTGCAGAGAACAGCAGCATTACCTCATTCGTCACCTTCGCCCCGAAGAGCCAGCCTGCCCCTCGCGGGCTGATGGCCCACGTGTCCACGTCCTCCGGGTCGGACCACACCAGGTCACAGAAGGCGCCTTTGTGAGGGATCTCCTGATTACGCTCAATGGTTCGAATTTGATCGAGTGTCTTGATGTCTGGAGAGAGGCCACCGTGCACACAGAGAATCTGCTCATCTATTAACTGCAGAGAGACACACGTGTGAAACACTCAACATTTTAATCCAGCCCAGAACCCTACCAGCGTGACCCAGCAAGGTCACCAATTCCAGCAGTCACATCCAGACAATCTACTCGTATTTCGGTAATGCGGGGGTCACACTTACAGCTGCTATTGTGAGCATGTCAAACACTTTGGTACAGTATCTCCAAGCGTTAGCATTTCCGTATTTGGTTTGGCACTCATCTGTAAACAGAGAATTTTTTTGGTCTCAATGTCCGAGCAGCCCTCGCCCCGCACCGTCAGCAGCAAACACAGCTCAGTGCAGGCACCAGAGGTGTCACAGCCCCCGGGAGCCGGGCTGGGCTGCACAGGGAGGCGCAGGCTCCCACCCGCCGGAGGGGACCGCACTGCCCCCGTCCCCGCTCCCCCAGCGACTCCGCGAGGCAGCTGAGGATGCTCTCGCTGCCTCCCAGCGCGGGCCGGGCAGGAACCGGCCCTGGAGCAGCCCAACACTTAAATGAGCAAATTCTCAGCAGGAGAACTGAGGCAGAAAAGGAACCAGCCGGGGCTGAGGGAAGGTATTCTCACAGCAATGGGAGCGACTGTAGCTTTGTTTGAAGCCACACGAAGGTGGCAGTAGCCCTGAGAGGCAGAGCGTTTCTCAAACCACCTGTCAGCGTTTGTAGTGGCTCTTGGTGACAGGTTTATCCAAAAGGAAGTGTGTTACAGACCAGATTCTTTGTGGCAGGCATTGGATACTTTCCAGGATTTCCTCGGGTTTTATCAAAGCCTCACACAACAACAAAGAAGTTCCCAAGCAATTTAATTCCTTCAGTTTTTCAAACAGTTGTTCTGCTGCTTATTTCTTGCCAGTGGCACTTTCCCAGATGCTCACTGATGACAATAAACGACTTCCACAGCAAACTGTGACACTGATTTTTAGTTACACTGAAATTTAAGGGGAGTTACAGGAACATCATGAACCTTTACAGGATCCCAAAGCCCGTTCTGTATGAACACACGCTCTGTCTCTGAGACTGAATGTGGCACCAAAAAACAAATGGAAAACCCAGGTGCTGGAGGGAAAGAGCAGCAAGATCTGGACTAACACATGTTCTGCTTCAGGAACACAAGGGTCACATTAAGGAATGACAACCCTGAGCCCCCTTTCCACCCAGTCCCAGCAAAGCCCCCAGTGCTGCGAAAGACACCGGACTCGTTTATTACACCTTCCCCCCCTTCAGAAATCGTTTGGATAAAGACTTACCATAAAATCCATACACTTGTGTTATCTGCCTGCTTTCATGATTGCCTCGTAACAGTGTGATACGATCAGGCCACTTAGCTTTTAGTGCAAGAAGGTAAGTGAAAGTCTCAAGACTATAATAACCTCTATCTACAAAGTCACCCTGCAAGTCAAAAAAATAGTCGTAAATGCAGAAACAGTCAAATGGAAAAATACAAAGCGATACATCCGCTCTACATTGCTCGCAGTGCACAGACACCTAAAGCTGAAGGGAAGCCCAGACCTGCACGGGTCTACGAGAACATGTTCTGTGGTCACTCGGAGCTTCAGCTTTGACCCGGCCACGGACTCACCCGGAGCTGCCCCGACACCCCCCTGATGGGACTCAGGACACCCCTCGCTATGGCCAGTGCTGCTGCACCACGACACAGCCCCGCATCGCCCTCCTCTCCCTGCTGCTGCACACCTGTAACTCCTGCTGTACTGCAGCAGGGAGAGTTTGGGTAGAATGGTTTGGGTTGGAAGGGACCTTAAAGCCCCCCAGTGCCACCCCATGCCCTGGGCAGGGACACCTCCCACCAGACCAGGTTGCTCCAAGCCCCCTCCAACCTGCCCTTGAACCCCTCCAGGGATGGGGCAGACACAGCTTCTCTGGGCAACCTGGGCCAGGCTCTCACCACCCTCACGGCAAACAAGTTCTTCCCCAGATCCCATCTCAATCTCCCCTCTTCCAGTGTCAAACCCTTCCCCCCTTGTCCCATGGCTCCCCTCCCTGACCCAGAGTCCCCCCCCATCTCTCCTGGGCCCCTTTAGGGACTGGAAGGGGCTCGAAGGTCTCCCTGGAGCCTTCTCCAGGCTGAACCCCCCAACTCTCCACAAAATCAAATAATAACACTCAACGGAATCAAACCCGAACCAAAGAGCAACCGCAGCCCTCACGGGCGGGGGCTGAAACTCAACCAGCGTATCGGGATTCAAAATTTAAACTGATTTTTTAGGCACCCGCGGAGCGAGCGGGGCAGCGCCGCCCGCACCTACCATGAAGATGTAGTTGGTGTCGGGGACCTGCCCGCCGGTGCGGAACAGCTCGCACAGGTCGTAGAACTGCGGAGGGAAGCGGAGCCGTGAGGGCGGCGGGCACCGGCGGGCACCGGGGCCGGGCCCGGCTCCGGGCGGGCGGAGCGGGGCGGCCCCGCGGGCCGTCGGGGGGGCCCCCGCCCGTTACCTGCCCGTGGATGTCCCCGCAGACGGTGACGGGCGTGGAGACGGGCTGGACGTTGGACTCCTCCAGCAGCAGGTCGCACACGTAGTCGCAGAGGCGCTGCGGGAGAGGAGCGGG